ACGTCACGTCCAGGTCAAAATTCATACTCAAGACTTCCATTAGAAGAATGCATTGTGGGAAAATCAATGTTTATTGATATAAATGTTGCACATACGAAGGGTGACACACCCTTCAATGCCATCAGCTCTAATTTTCGTTTACAAATGAAATTTATGCTTTTGTAAATTATTAATCATACTTTTGATATTTCATTATAAAATTGTGAGTTATTTTACACTGATCTGATTAATTTAATTTTTATGGAATTCTGTACAATGTAAAGTTAAATCTTATTAAGTTAGTAGGTAGGAGCTTACTAAAATCAAATACCCAGGAATTTATCTGAATTATTATATCCTGCAGCATAATGAAATTAGGGTTGGGTGTTAAAACTGAATTTTTAAAGTTGACCAAAATAATAGGATTTTTTGCTACTTAATCCTAATTACCTAATTACTAGTACATTGACTTGATCAGATAAGGGTTAGTCTACATTAGTCGTGTTCAGGCTACACTGAGTCTGATCTAAGATTTAAGCTCATCTTTGCATATCGGCTATATATCCAATTGCATTCGTGCGTGGGAGGAGACTGTGGTTAGCATGGGCTAAGGTACACCCAAACCTCTTTAGAATATATAAATTTGCAGTTCTTTTAACTATGATTATTCAGTACAGTAACCAGGAAGGTAATACATCTTAGTTCTATGGTTATAAAACAATACCTAGGCAAATTCTGAAAGTGCAGAATAAAAGTGTTTTTTTACTTCTTGAGAACATTGTCTCTGGATGTGCTGCGTTGATGTAGGAAATTGCATGACATAATGAATAATTATGAATATACAAAAGTGAATCTTCCAAATAGACATTTAATACATACGTTTTGGGCGCACACTTCTTTAGCCCGTGCTAAGGGTCTAACTGAATCTTAAAGAAGGGTCAGATTTAGCTTGTAAGTTTCTTAGCCTGTGCTGTGTTTTTGCGCACAGGCTAACTTTTTTGATCTTTTAGCCTGTGCTAAAGAGCTGTGCATGAACGCAACTATTATATAAATCATATTTCAAAATAGATGATATTTCATTATAATATTTAGATTTAAAGATTAAAGTGTATGCTTTTAAGTTTTGACATGCATGAATAGTCTGGAAAATTAGAAAGCCGAATTTGAATGAACATTATGATAATGTGTGTAGCTGTGATATTTAAACATGTCACTGTTTCCATGTTTGTTGTTATGGCAATAATTGAATTAATGGAAGTAAAACGTTCTGCAATGTTGCGCTTGGAATTTTTAACAAAACAAGCTTATTCTCAATTCAGGATGGTTAATTTCACATACAATGTATGCTTGAACATGACATGCACGTACCAGTATTAGTCTAAATTTAGCACTTGATAAGAAAAACAAGCTTATTCTCAATACAGGATGGTTAATTTCACATACAATGTATGCTTGAACATGACATGCACGTACCAGTATTAGTCTAAATTTAGCACTTGATAAGAAAAACAAGCTCAATTTTTTTACCATCTTGTAAAATCGCCATAACTATATTTTAAACTATTCATACTGTTGTATAATCATATTTAGGACATTGGCTTCATTAACTTATGTACTGTACAAACTGAATAATTTGAATAAAACGTCAAAAAGTTTATGAAAACTCCGTTATTTGAGTTTTAAACAAATGATTATTTTTTGGATGGTTAAATTGTTAGAAAAGCTTTAAATATAAAAACGTAACACAGAAATGCTTGTAAATAGCTTTATCTCATTTCAAAACAAAAAAAAAAACATCAATTTGAATTGATAGCATCTGAATGTCTATTTCCTGTCAGGTGTTCACCTTTCACAGAGATCCACCTGCGTCATTTGAACAGCATTTTGACCAGTATTGTTGCAATAGCTCATCTCAAAAATCTGACAAGCTACATTTTGTTATTGTCTGCCACTACATTGCAGTAAATATTAAATTTAGACATGCATCTTAAGTGAAATGTAGTCAAGGAGTAGTTTTCTCATGTATAGCATTTGGCAAGTCAAAAACAGTTTGTAAACCTTTACACATTGTTGGAATAGTATTTGTTATTCTAATTGTAAAGTTTGATTGTGGAAATTTGGTTAAATTACAAGAGGAACAAAAATGTTTTAAGCAACAATCAGGTGGTCTAATAGGATTACCGGTACATGTACTGACAATTAATTTGTGTCTACATGTACATTTTTATTAGTCCCCGTTCGGACGAAGTCGGAAAACGGGGACTTACAATTGGGTCTCCGTTCGCTCGTCCGTCCGAAGTCGTCTTTCAGAATCCGTCAGACCAATTTCGTTCATTCTTTGCATGTGCCTAGTACTTTATGTGGGACATATGCACATGCAGTGATTTAGTGATTCGATTCAAAATGGCCAACTGGCAGCCATCTTGTTTTTTGAAAATGTTGTATTTTGGACATGCTTTATCAGTTTTCATTCAAAATTGATACATAGATTATACATGTTAGGATACGTGTCCTCTGACCATCTGTGCATCCGTCCGTCCATCCATCCGAAGTCATATATCAGAATCCTTTGGACCAATTCTGTTCAATCTTTGCATGTGCCTAGTACTTTATATGGGACATACATGTATGCGCTTGCAGTGGTTTAGCGATTCGATTCAAAATAACTCTGTCACGCATGTATCATTGATATTTAGCATGTCATAAATGGATACATGTACATGTCAATTCAATTTGCAATTTGATCAAATATTGCCGACTGGCGATAACTTGGACATGCTTTCACTTGTGATCTATGTTTTTCTTTGCTACGTCTTAAACCGGAGGGGTCGTCATGCAACAATTGTTCGAATTTGATGTAAATAAACAATCTCACGCGATGTTTGATGCCACTACGACGCTATGATCTTTGTTTGTCCTGTTTTTACATTTGATTTCATGCATAACACGTGATTCTCGCAATGAACAGAGAATGGTCTATCGCTAGAGGAAAAAAATTATTTTAGGCCAATTCCATGGTCAAACTAGTAAAGGAACTACTGTAACAATACTTAATTTGTACCTTCATAACAATTACTGTATTACATATTATGTTCTTATATATCCTGATAGCATGGTCCTACATTGTGTACCTTCCAAACATGATGGATAATGAAAGCAAAACCTACATGTAATTAGGGTTGAACTCCAGTCAAAAAAAAAGCATTTAGCTGAAACATAAATTTGTACCGGTACATTAAAATACAACTCACTTCATACTTTACACATATACTAAGTATAGATTAATCAATGGTACATAATATAGCTATAATTGAGTTAGTCTTGTGTGAGAATATCTTATTCTTTAGGATTCCTCATTTATAATTAACTTAAGTGAACCAATAGTGTAGGGAATTTGAAGTAGATATAGCCAGATAATTGACAATTAGGTGAACTTACCATACGACAAAAGTAGATGAATTATGAAAAAAAGTAATTTATGCTATAATTACCTGGCAATTCATTTAGATGAAATTTATCTTTGTTAGTACTGTAAACATTCATTGTTATTCTTCCTTGTGAGAATACATCACAGTTAATAATTATCATTATTGTTGAAAAGTGTCATTTGTAATTTTCTATTAAATCTTATTAACTCTTAGAGATTAGCACATACATGTTAGATTTATATATGCATACAAACAATTTTTCTTCAGGAATAATTATGTTGAAAATATATGTGTGTATTATTCATCCATGATTGGTTGAACAGTCATATTTTCTATTACTATGCATGTATACTTCCATCATAAATCACAGTGTGCCATAATTTTCTGGTATTGCAAAGGCATTCTACCGGTTGGTCAATTACCTACTGCAGTACTGTCTTTTTGCATGTTATGTTTTAAAGTATTTATAATATGTATAGTCAAACTACAATGTATTAAAGTCATATCATAGCCACCAAACAATCAATATGATCTTCAGTATGTTTGCTGTGCTAAATTGTGTGCTATAACTGTGCATGTATACAGAATGCAGTCATGGTTGCACTAAGAAAACTGATTCTCTTGTTTTCAACTACCAACTGTTGGTGAATCTAAGCATATATTTGCCCATTAGTTGGACTGTCAGCCAAATCATGTTGAGGCTAAATGAAAACAAATATGCATGGTTCTGAAAATCCTACCCTACCGTACCTAACATTTATTGCCTATAAATGTACCCTAAACCTATTTTGGGGAAAAAAAATCATTCAAAATCAGACAAGGTATCAATGAAATAGGACTTGAACAAAACAGAAGTTATTATCCTGAATTTTGGACAAATTAGTGATTAGTGACAAATTAGTGTAATCATCATTAGACATGAGTTTTGTTATAGTATTCAGCAAGCAAGCAAGCACAAACTAAATAACATTATAGAAAAAAAAGAGAAGACAATCCAACCTACATTTTTTAAGCAAATAACACCGAATAAAC